GTCTACCAACTGCCTACGAATACACAGGTCACAGGTTCAATTCTCGGGGTCTACACAGATACTGTACATGGGTAGGGTGAGGTCTAGGGATCGAACCCTGGGTACTGCATCCGCTACTGCTAAAAGGTGAAAACCGTTTCAACGGTCCTGGCTCCGGATGCATTCTGGGGAATGTGAGTCCAGTTACTTCCCCCCCCCCCCTCTTCCCCCCGATAGATGTGCCGTTTTGTTTTGTTTTTTTTTCTTTTTTCTTTTTTTTTTGAACAGATGTACTGTTTTGTTGTTTCCTTTTTTTTTTTTTTCCCTCAAGGGCCAAGGCCTCAGGATATCTTCATCAATCTGACTGGCCGAAGGTGATTCAGAATGATTTAACTCCGTTCATCAAGGTCTATCATAGGATTCGAATTTCGAACTCAGGTCTGTATTTCGGCAATTCTGCGGTGTGACAACTGAGCTTTGATTGTTTACCCTCGTGGGATTTTTGTCTTCTTGTGGTCCTGTGACAGGTTTTTTGTGTTCCCTTGCCGATAACACGTACGGGATCGAGTTTACGGAATTTGAGATAAAGGATTCAGATACTGGCCGAATTCTGTTCAGCGTTAAAAAGGACCCAAATGCGTTGCCGCAAGCTGCGGACCTTGTTTCAGCAGAACTTGGGCCTGAGCGAGAGGCCGCTATTCGCACCATCCAGTATTGTTTCCCGTTGGAGTTTTTTGAGTTCAAGACAATACGGACGCTGTGAGTTTTTCTTGTCCTTTTCCGCCACCTGTGGAGCACACACACTAGCACAATCGTAAACCGCCAGTGTCTTTCCCCGCTAGGGGAAAAAACAAATAGAGCGGCTGTAAACACGGAGGCCGTAAACGGCTGGCGGCGGCGGCCAGATGCATCCGCGAAGCTCGGCGCGCAGGGCTCGCGGCCGATGTATGAGAAAGGTACTGACGGCTTAAATGTTTCGGACCGTAATTACGGACATACTTGGATGCATCTGACTGCACTTAACGACCAGAAATAAGTAAAAAACTTAAAAAAAGTCTGTGTGTGAGTCGCCGTCAGTACGGATTCTATGAGTTCTCTTTTCCTTCTCCTCCATCTTTTTGGCTGCCAAAAGAAGGGGGCAGTGTTGTTATGTTCTTGTGCAGAAAGCAGGAACCTGACCGTGGACATAGTCAGGTTCATGCTCTTTTTAAAGTTAAAAAAAAGGGCAATCCGGGCTCCACGGCTTCTGTTTTTTCCTTTAAAGCGCTAGTACCTCCTCCGACAGCGCTGGGAAATTAGGGAAACGGGCTGTTCCCGAAGAGTTCAGAGGCCGGGCCCGACGGCGGCTGCCATTTTCCCGCTTGGCAAAGGTACTACAGTCTTCACCCGAATACAACGCCCGGTCGTTATAGCTGCATTTGGCCCAACTTTCAGTCCAGATGCAGTGATAATGACCTGGCGTTCTATTCGGGTGAAGACGGTGGTGGTCTTAACTTTTCAGTGTTGTGGTCGAGTGACCATCAGTTTTCTTTTCGTTTGTCCTCTTTTTTGTTTAAGGGCCGGGTGGGTGATATATGCTCATGCTCAGACGACGACAACAACCTTTTCCCCAAAATGGCCAGGTTCATGCGTTTTGAGCTCATTACATTGAGTATGGAATACTATGGATTCCACTCATCTCTTACCTCCTTTTCTTTTTCCTTTCTTTCCTTGAGATATTGTCATATTGAGCTAACCGGCCGGGCCCATGTAATTTCTAAATAATAAATATTGTTTCCCAACTTTTCCATCATGTGGATTTGAACTTGGGTCTGTATGGCAACCAACAGGTCTTTTAAACTTCTTTTGTGTATCAACTGAGCGATGGAATCTTCTCTTCGAGTTCTCTGTTATTTTTTTTTCATCCGCCTTCCGCTTTTTCAGTTCTTTCAACTTCTTTGATCTTCTGTCATGACATGAACGAGGGGCAGGCGGCAATGAACCTGGCTGCAGAAATAGTCAGGTTCATGCAATGTTCGTGCTCAGAAAGTCGACTGGAGATATCGAAAAAATGGCGCACCCTTAACATTGGACCGATACAGAGAAGATCAGTGTGGCTGCTGCACAATGATGACAGTTACAAGTGTAGATACGAAACAAATCGTCCGATGTCGGCGATGCGTCTTTTTTTTTTTTCTGTGTGTTTTTCCATGTCCCGTGGGTGTGTGATCAAGGCGCTTGACCAAGACAAAGTTCTGGGGCCAAAAGTGGGTCCTAGAGCGCTGTGCGAGGATCAGGGTCCTCGGTAGGCCTATGGGGCCCTGCTTGCAGCATTACCGGCCCTAAGTGAAGGCGGAGGTGCCCGCCCTAAGTGAAGGCGGGCCTGGCTTTTTGCAAGAGGCCCTTGACTGTCAATTTCATATTTGGGGTCCAGGCAGTTGCGACGCGCCAGTTGGTTGAGAGAAACACAGGCCGAGCAACAAAGACATTTCCACGGCCCTCTGGGCCTTTCCAAAGAATGCAGGCCCTGGGCGTGATTCGCAGCCTCATACAGAGACAGTTGGGCGCCCAACCGAACGAGGCCCAGCAGCCCAGTAGCTGCTCTACACAGGCAGCTTCCTGGGGCCTTCCGGAAGCTTCTGGGCCCAGGCCAGTGCAGCCAGGCTGCGTTTCCATAAAGGAAAGAGCTCAGCCCTGGCTGCCTCATTCAGGCACTCGCATGCTGGCGGCAGCGCTGCTGGAGCTAATGCTCGTGGGCTGCTGCTAGCGCTGGGAGGCGAAGTGCAGCACGTGCGGTCGTGCAGAGGAGCAGGGCGCTGCTGAGGGCAGCGCCATAGCCCAGCCACCATAGCTGGTGGGCTTGGACTACAGTGAAGCACAGGGGTGGTCTTCGGGTCAAAGAGAGGACAGGTGTGGGTGWAGTCAGGGGATAGGTGAAGGATGATGATGATGATGATGATGTGAGGGCACGTACCTTGTATTGGCCATGGTCTGCATGGGCGACATCGTCAAGTACTTCGGGCTGCCGCTGATGTCAACAGTTGCATTGTCTTTTTGTAGTCTGTAGTAGCTGTGTAGGAGTAGGCCGCCAAGTGTGAGTGTGAAGGACCTGGACTCTAGTGTTGAGAGGAGAGAGTATGCTCTCCATGGACATTGGTTTTCAGTGCTACAAACCTCCATTGGTGTATTATTGGTGCAATGGACATTGGTTTTCAGTGCTACAAACCTCCATTGGTGTATTNTTTCAGTGCTACAAACCTCCATTGGTGTATTATTGGTGCAATGGACATTGGTTTTCAGTGCTACAAACCTCCATTGGTGTATTATTGGTGCAATGCTGCTCTCTGGACACAGTGTGACTATATGGCTTTCAATGTGATGGTGTGATCTGGAGTTGTCATCTTGCTGTTGCTTATTTTCCTTGCAGCTGTAGAGAGGCTCCGGAAAGTCCCCAGATCCGTAGGCTTGGGGTCAAGGGGGGTTAATGGAGGTGCCCATGTCCTCTTCATGGGTGGGTAGAAATAAGCCTCAGAAATCAGAAGTCAGGCCCTGCCCCCTTGTGCAGAAGTCAAATAGTCAAAGAACTTTTTCACGAGTCAACTGCGACCACAGATCACACTCAATCCAAAGGCTGAGCATCAGTTTCCAGAAGCTTCCAGGGATTGCTGGGTCAAGGGAGACACTGGCCTGAAGAAATTCTTGGTGGCCAGGACCGAGAAATCTCAGCCATCTGAAAAAAAAAAAAAAAAAAAAAAAAATCTCAGCCGTCTGAGGTGGCAATCCTAGGCAGTCCAGGCTGAGTCAACACCACAAGAGCTGGGCCTGCCTCAGCTCATCGACTCAGTCTGCTTGCGCTGCAGAAGTCCAGGGCGCTGCTGCTCGAGTGCTAGCGCTGGAAGTACGTCGATATGAGAGAGACATAGAGTGAGCATGAGAGAAGCCATATCTAGAGCAGAGGGTGCACTTGCACCATAGCTTAGCACGTGAGAGTGAGGTTTGACACGTGAGAGTTGAGGTTTGAGGAGAGCACATATCCTATAGGGAGGGGAGTGTGTGTGTGTGTGTGTGTGTGTGTGTGTGTGTGTGAGAGAGAGAGAGAGAGAGAGAGAGAGAGAGAGAGAGAGAGAGAGAGAGAGAGA